GAATATTACAAAGTAGAAGACCCTATTTATAGAACTACAAATAACTCTAAAAAGAAATATTGTATAATAATTACACAATTAACTAATAAGGAAAATAATCCTACATAATTGGAAAAATATAATAAAAGATTATTCTAAACAATATTTCCATATTCCATATCTTTAACACCACTTCAAATTGATGCTACTAAAAGCATCAATTTGCAATCTTGAACTGCGATGGTGACAATACTTGTGTCCACGAAGAAGGAACCAAAGCAGAGCAATCAACTAAGAAAACCAGTGACGACGAGAGACCAAGAACAACAAAATAATGCAGAAACAGCTAAGAACAACTCCAAAGCCACTCTAAGAACATCCCAGGGAGCTCACTTCCCATGAAGAATTTCCAAAAGAAATTCACGAAGTGTCAACACACACAGTGAGCTCTATCAGTTGGGAGAATTTAGCCGAACACATAATTCGTGTTCCAATAAAAGCTCTAACGCTAATACACCGACCAAAATTCCAACAATACATCGCTGACTAAGATACTGTAGTTGGGAGAAATCCCACAAAATCTCATATACCAAAAATCCAATGGTGATCCTCCTTTGAGAATCCAAAACCACCCAATAGTGATCCTCCAAAAATCCAAAACTGTAGCTCATCATTCGAGCAACCAAAACACAAAGATCTGCACTCCCATCTCTCTCTCATCCAAATTATCCATCAACAAGATCCCCAAGTTCCTTAATGGAAGCAAATCAAGCCACATTCCAAAGTTGACACAAAATATCCCACAAAGAGAAACCACAATTTATAATCCAACTGCTCACAACCCATCATAAGCATCAATTAAAGTCCCCAAGACTTAGCCCATTCATTAACTTAGCTACACAATAGCAGGCTCAGCTTCTAGAAAATATTAGACCTATTGCCCAAGCATATTCTAAAATCAATAATCTAACAAGGATACTCTTAAATCAAAAGCCTAACAGAAAGCCCACAACTATTTAATGAGTTAATAACCCAATCAATAGCCCAACAAACCAAAATTAATAACCCAGCAGCCCAATACACACTCACAGACGCCTCCGACAAATTTAACACACCAAAGCTCCGACAATCGATCTTCAACCCACCTGCTACTCCACTTCACCGGTGCCCTAAACCATTCATAACCTACAAGCTCCGCTAATAGCCTCTACCAACATAATGAACCACCGCCATAGAAATCTCCAGTAAACCCATACTAATAGCCTAATCTACCATATCACTCATCAACTTCCATTACCCGTTTTCAATCACCTGCTACCTACAACAACCACTGCTCACTAAAACTCAACTACTTCAAAACCAGAAAATTCATCACTCATCACTTGCCATCACTGATTTCCTCTAACCTTTCACTGCTTTCTTCATTGCTCCGAGTTTTGGACTACTGGACAGCCGCAGACAACACGCAGAGGGCACACGTTTCCAACCACAAATTTTACTCCCCTCAGCTCTTTGTGACTGGTGACTCTCATCTCTCCTCTCCGTCTCGTCCCCTTCCACCACCGACCATTGAGGCATGGGTGGCTCTCATCGAATTTGGGTTTGAAGCAGACTACTTGGTTGGGCTCTAACTGGGAAAGGACCTCCATCAGTAACCTGTATTGTGCAATCTCCCATTGGTTTGACATTTAATGTAGAAGGAAAAGGGTTGATTAATTTCCGTGGACCAAGATTTTGAGCTAGTTGTATGAAATTAGAAAAACAATTTTCAAAACAAATAAATAAATTAGGCCCGACGAGCAGCCCGGAAACGAAATTCAATGGCTAATTTGTTTAGGATCGGAATGGCTCTGATAACATGATAAGAAAATTATAAATTGTATATAATAAACTCTTGCTGTGAATATTACAAAGTAGAGGACCCTCTTTATAGGGCTACAAATAACTCTAAAAGAAAAGATTGTGTAATAATTACACAATCAACTAATAAGGAAAATAATCCTACATAATTGGAAAATATAATGAAAGATTATTCTATACAATATTTCCATATTCCATATATTTAACATTTAGTATTTAATTTTAAAATGGATTACAAGACTACAAAGTTTTTGATTTGTGGATTATAGCTTCATAATTGCAAATAATTATAACAAAATTCAAGACCTCATAAACTGACTTCCACACAACATAAAATAAAACATACGGTAATTATTTGATCTCAAGTCCAACAATTTAGCCTCGTTTGGGAATAATTTCTAAACTGTTTAATTTATATATGGATAGAATGAGTGGTGGATATTCCTTCTGGTTCAATTGGAATATGGTTGAAAATGAAGTTTGACTAATTTAAAAATATTAGTAAATTTGCCAAAAGAAAGCTTAGTTAAAAATATCATTTACTGTCTTGAATAGAATGAATAGTTACCTAGTTTAAAAAGAAAATTATTTCCAGTTTGGCAACCAATGTATAAATCAATTTATAAACACAACCAAATTCAAGCATAATTTCACCCCCACATTCATACCTACTAATTTGTTATTCACACATTTTGTAGGACCCACTAGTGTTCCTCTTTATAAATTGATATATAAATTTGACAAACGGAGTACAAAAAATAGTGGTATCATTTTTCAACCATAAGGTGCCCATCTGACCCTTCAAGCTGGCAATTATTAACAAGCCTGCCAACAAAATCTACAACCACCTATTTAAGGTTTTAAGCCATCACAATAAGATCTAGTTCTAAATGGAACCTGAAAATAAAGTCCACGGGGTAAGGTAACTCAGGCATCACTAGCATTATCTAATCTACTGTTAAATACGTGAATCAAGAATAAAAACCAATGTAATATTACTGGGGAAGGTGTTCCCGTATTACACGAAACGATAGCTGCAGCATTAGAGGCTTCTTGTATCTCTTTTGAGCATAAGTAGCAACTAGCAAGCTTGCCTGTGAATCTTAAATGAAGAAAGACCACAAGCACAAATTACTGGAAGCTTGCTTATAGCAAGGTTGAGAAAATTGCTAATAACTCAAAAATGGAGAAAGCAGCTTGAACAGGATTTTGGAAGACAAAAGTATAATTATTATTTTGGTATGAACATGTTATCAAAGTGCAAGACAAAATCACAGGTACAAGAATCAGGGAGGGTGAGGGTTACTATTATTCACTTTTCCACCTTTTCCACCTTTTCCTTCCATTTCATTTTTCTTTCATGCAAAGAACCATTAAGAGCGAAAATTAGCAGAAGTTTGACACCAAAATTAGATACTGAAAAACATACCTAATCAACAACAGCAACAGCAAAGTCACCATGATAGCGACTCAAACCAGCAGTGAGGGATGCAATCAAATGAATCTGACCATATTTTCCCTTATGAACCTTCAAGAAACAC